TTTCGTCATTCAAGTAGATACAGTATGTTCAGAACCAAGGCAGTCTAAAAGAAGTCTTTACTCCTGAGAATTGTCTTAGACAACTATGAATTAGAAATATACATGCCTTTGAATTACACATTTTTCATAATTATGTTAACCACTAGATAAGATTCAACCTAAATAAAAAAGCAACCAAAAAGCACTTCATCCTAATGCTGAAAACGCAGTGAAACAGACAGGCACTCAGCCTAAAAAAAAAGAACATTTTTTTGGCAGCTAGCGTGGGTAATCCTTTGTCACTGCTGCCTTTTACAACAGGTTTTCTGGCTCACTACTGTTTCAACTCTTATGTTTCACTACGGATCTGTACATATCAAAAGCTCGTGTCATGATCTGCCACCTGCCTGCTCCTTCAGAGCTGATGAAAATGTTCCTAAACATTTAAAAAGGGAAATTACTGTTTATGAACACACAGGCAAAAGACACACTTAATGAATGTTCTAAAATGGATTTAGACTAAAAACATGATTGTTTCCTATTGTAGTTGGCAGAATAAAATAGGTTCAAAATACAAGTTTAAGTTCTAAAACTAGCCTTTTCATAGAGGTAATAGTAACTCTTAGCTCAGCCTTCTAAAACAAGCATGTGATACTCCACTTTAGCTCTGATAGAGTTGCCTGCCCTATTATAATACTGACACTACTTAGTAATTAAGCTAAACTTAGAAGTTTATTGCCTACAATCATGGACTAAGTTCTGTCCTGTACTGCACATAAGTGCCCACCAGAAAGCTTTGTGTGCAGCAGCAGGAGAGCAGAATATCCCTATTGTGATGCCCCAAAGCACGGTGCCAGCTTCTCTCAAAGGAGCAGTTGTTGGGCTCTTCCTCAAAAACCTCTCTCTCGGTGCTTACAGTCTTCACAATTACTGTCCCGTATCTAGCTTTCCCTTTTAGGGAAAAGGGATTGAGGTGGTCTGAGCAAACCAGGTCCATCTGGGATCTCTGATCCCTATCAGTCTGGTTTTCAGATAGAGTATGATATGGAAACTCTGAAGGTGTCATTGGAACGAGATCTTCTCATGGTGATGGTGAGAGACCAGGTGTCCATGCTGATTCTTTTAGATTTTAGCAGCCTTTAATACCACTGATTATCAGGCTTTGTTGATATACCTGGTGTATAAACCATGTACACCTCTACCTCAATATAACGCTGTCCTCGGGAGCCAAAAAATCTTACAGCGTTATAGGTGAAACCGCATTATATCGAACTTGCTTTGATCCACCGGAGTGCGCAGCCCCGCACCCCCGGAGCACTGCTTTACCGCATTATATCCGAATACATGTTATGTCAGGTCATGTTATATCGGGGTAGAGGTGTAGTGGTGTAGAAATGGTGTTACCATCCAAGGAGGGCAAAGTACCCAGATGGGCCAATCTGCATTCTACTCGGGCCTCAAAGCCCACCAGGTATATGAGTTGGTGGTTCCTTCATGGAGCTGTGAGCACAGGCATACACATGATGTGGTCCATAAACTCCCCTGACTCCTGTCCTTTCTGCAGCAAGACGGAGACAATGGCGCATATTCTGGGTATGCCAGATTGCAGCCCCTCTTCTGGCTCCTCCAGAACCTGCTCCTGAGGTTCTGGCTGTACCTTTCCCCACACCTCCTGATCTGCACACCCCCTCTGTGGCCCCGCAAAGTTGTGAAACCTCCTCATCAACCTCCTCCTCCAAAGAGGGCATTCACATACCAGGAGGAGGAAACTGGATGGGGTAGGGGGGGACCTTCTGTGACTGTGGGGCCTACTTCTGATCCTTCTTGAAATCACATCTCTGGGCCGAGTTCCTCTGGGCTGTGACAACTGCCTCCCTGGATGCCTTCGAGGAGCAGTGGGAGCTGTCCGGGGTTCTTTGCTCAGTGTCCCCCTGTGGATCCCTGATTCTATCCACGTGACCTTCACTCCCATCCCTGTTTTTTTCATTTGTTGTCCCCCCCAAATTAGTTAATGCCTGGGTCTGGTGGCTCCTCCCCTTAAACTGAGCGAGGGTGTCATGGGGTTCACTCACTGCTAGGGTGCCTCCTCCTGGTGGCTTTGGGGATTAGCTTCCTCCAGGTGTTGCGCCCTCCTCTGGTGGTCTCTCCATTCATCATCTTCTCTCATTCTGTGGCCCCTCTTGCTCGAGGAGCTGCAGCTTTCTGTTCATGGCTTAGTCCTCCAGCCAGGTCACTATGGTCTTCCCCTTCTAGGGTATCAAAGTCTGCCAAGGCCAACTGTCCCAGGCAGTTTGCTCTCTGCTGTGTGGTCTGCATCACTTCCCCAGTAGCTGGTAGGGGAACCCAGGCTCACCCTCTACTCCACTTCCAGTTCCGGGGCCCTCTCATCAGCAGGTCTGTCTTACCCCATCCCTTGCTACCTTTCCCCTGAGCCTTTCCTACCTTTCTAGCTCTCCTTCTCTGGGTTTGCCAGCCCTCCTCCCAGGGAGTAATTGTAAGCCCAAACATGCCTGCCTTCACCCTGGGAGTGACTGCAGTCTACTTCCCTGCAGCCCTCAGATGCTCTCAGCTCCTGGGCTTTACATAGGCCCCTCCTGTTCCTGTCCAGCTGAGTCTCATTTAATCAATCCCTGCTCCCTGATTCCTTCTCCAGGTGTAGAATGGGGAGTTAATTGGCCCACCTGGCCACCTTAACCCCTTCAAGTCTTGTGTGTGGTGGACATTCCACCACAGTGGCAGCCTTTAGTAATGGGCAGGCCCCTCCCAGTGCTTCAATAGATACTCTGACCTAAGGGCTCTCTCATGCAGGGTTCCATTCTGTCGTCCTTCTGGTTTCACTTATGGTACATACTGAACTGCTAGGGGAGCTAGTAAGGAAGTTTAGACTGCTGTTGGGTTCCTCCTCCTGTTCCAGCTGTTAATTGCTTATTGATCACCTAACAAGTCCTCCTGGGGCAGTGCTATTTTTTTCATTACTTTGGTTTCTTATTACTAATAAAATACCTGAGCACAAAAAAAATAAAAAAATCCATGCAGCATGATGAAAGCCATCAAGAGGGATTCTGGGGCAGGACCTATAGATCAGAGAGTGAGATTCACACACTTATCAGTATACATCTGGTAAAGACCAGCCTGAACTAGCCAGAATATAGAACACACATTCGTGCTGCTTTCGCAAACCAACTCTGGAGAAGTTTAGCTGATTCCATGGAGTTTAAAATATTTACTTTTTAACCTGGCAGTGCACTGTGTTACACAGTAATCAGCACAAGAGTGCTGAACAAGATTTTTATCCACTACACAAAACGACAAAGAACATTATAAATATGTCTCAAAGTAAACCCAAAATTCTACTGCAGGAAAAGAAGAAACTCAATGTAAGGTATTTTTCTTGTTTTGTTATTTATTTATTTGTGTGTGTGCGCGACACACGCACACGTGATTGTTTGTTTAGGAAGTTTGAACAGGTTTATAAATACGAACCATGTAAATATGAGAAACAAAACAATAATCTTTACAACAGTGAACTTTTATGTAAGGAAACATTATACAATAAAATACTCATTACATCTCTATTTAACAAGGTGTTATCATATTACAGAGTGAACATCATTACAACATCTCGCGACGTCATTTCTATTGATTTCATTAAATTGAGTGAACTCTCTGATTACGCATATTTAACAGACGAATTATGTCTATCAACTGTTAATATTTAAAAAACAACCGTTGTGTTGGTTTGGGGTTTTGGTTTTGTTTGTTTTGTGTTTGTTTGTTTGCAGGTGAATGCTCTTTGTCTGAGTATTGAATAAAATACTGAACCACATATCTAAGTATCTATTTGTCCTCCTCTTTTGCTGGCTACACAACGGGCGTGTTAAATTTTTCCATAATAACACCCTCCCATAGTTGGACTATTTTTGCTTTTTCAGTGACAGGCTATCGGTAGCCTAGCAGCTACTAACAGATGATAGATTAATTCTTAATTTCCTTTTGTGTGACCACAAGGAAAGCCCCAGAAGGATTACCAAAGGATAATTTGATAATAAATACCCAACAATTTATTATATTTGGCTACAAATCTCAATATTCTGTAATGACTGGACATGTCCACCACGTATATATAAAATCTCCTCTTTCACCACAATTTCTCCAATATGTATCCCCAAGCAATCTATCTGTCTAAGCTGACTGATGTGAGGTACCATTAAAACAGTATCTTAAAGAAATTTTCTTTTATCATGCTATAGACTGAGCAACATATCTTTCTAAACAACTATGCATTTAATGAACTTTTTGGTTGTTCTTCGAAGTTAATTGATGTTACATTTCATTAAGTTCTTGGAATACCTTAACGCCATGAAAAATGTTTTATTAGAGAGAGCTATTGGTCAGATGAGCAGACCCATTGAACACAAAAAGAATTATGAGCAAAATTTCAAAAAGTCTTTTAGAAACTTTTGAAAATATCACTCTACATTATTTTTATTCTTTGCTGGCAATATATCCAATTACTCAAAATTAGTTTTGTAATTAACAAACTGTCGTGTCTATCAATTTCCATGGTGCCAGGACAGCTTCATTTATTTCAGTCAAAATACAGATGGCACAAAATCATGTAAATGCCTTATTGCTTTGTGTGATGCAAAGTAACATGAACTATTCCAAATACCCCGGAAATGTTAAGGTAAAGAGTAAATTTTTCAAAAGAGCCTTAGGGTATGTCAACACTGCAGAAAAAGACCCATGGCAGCGAGTCTCAGAGCCCTGGTCAACTGACATGGGCTTGTGGGGCTCACGCTAACGGGCTAAAAATAGCAGTGTAGACATTCGGACTCGGGCTGGAGCCCAGGATCTGAACGCTGGTGAGACAGATGGGTCTCAGAGCCCAGGCTATATCCAAACCCAAATGTCTACACTAGTAATTTTAGCCCTGTAGCATGAGCCCAGTCAGGTGACCCTGGCTCTGAGACTTGCTCCCAGGGGTCTTTTTTTTTTTCCAATGCACACACAAAGTGAGTTAGGAGCCCAAGTCCCTTTGAAAGTCATGTAACAGTGGTCTATTTAACAATCAATATTGGTCTAATGTGATTGACTTGAAATAGGCACTGAAATATGTTTTAAAATACAATTATATTTTTAAAATACTTTGAAAACCAAGAAGGTTCAGTAATTTACTAGCCTTAAATTTGTTTTTTATTCCCTTCAAACAGTGAATGTGCCTCGACTTCAGAGGACTGTTTCTCCTTGCTGTTCTGTGAAATATCTTCCATAACTCAGTACCATCCCTTAACCTTCTTCCTCAGTTTGTTTTAAATTACTCTGTTCAACTTGGTTCCAGTGAGTTTAGACATTTTTTTTCCTTCTTAGCTGTATGAAGTTCAGTCTTTTTTAAACACTCTCCTCACTTGGGAAGGGATAGAAGTGGTGGAGAAGAGGATACGTTTGTCACTAAGGCTTAGTCTAGTCATCTGTGCATAGGACTGGGAGCCAGGAACTTCTTAATTCTAGTTCCACCTTGGTCACTGACTTCCTAGGGCCTTGAGCAAGTCACTTAAGCCAAAATATTCAAAAAGTGCCCTCTAATGTTGGGCCCAACTGTAGATACTTAAGGCCTGTGTGCTGAGCACTCACCTCTTCAACTGCAATCAATGGGAGGGGCAGGTATTCATCATCTCTGAATACCATAACTTAGGTTAGGCAACCAAAGTAAGAGGTTACTTTTGAATATTTCAGAGCTTCATCGCTATTCTTCAGTTCTCCCATCTGTAAAATAAGGAGAGTACTACTTACCTACAGACTTCACTGGGAAATTGGGTTTGTAAAAATCTCAGTTATTATAATACACCCTAAAATTCAGTAAACAGAGATACTCAAGGTACATTTTAACAGTCTTTACTGTAGCAATTCATTCAGAAACAACTCCTCTCCAGAGTTATAGATCAATCGGAGAATAAAACATGACCTTTGAAAACCAATATGATGTCTTCCATGTATGATAGCAGCAGAATAAAACTGCTTTAAAAAGGTAAATCATTTACAATTACTCTATTGCCTTCAGTGGGAATAGTCCACTGACTGCCTGAAATGATTTCTCATTTGTCAGACCAACCTTACAGTGCAAAATTCAAGAAAAATCAGATTGAGTTGAACACAAAAAGTTCCCGTCACACTCCACAGCTGTTACAGTCTGAGATCTTTGTTTCTTCTGCCACTGATGCCCACCTGGAATTTTTGGACTATGCCATTTTGATTGATGCCAAATCCTCTTTCATACCTAAATCTAAGAAGCCAGCATGGCTTATTGTAAAGAACTGTCCACCTACTTCACAGAGTAGATCACTCATCTCAAGCCAACAGCATTCATTCACCAAGCTCAGAACTGTTAATGTGATGGCCACCATCTTGGCCAGCAAACCTAGGACTGAATTGGGGATCCTCAGAACTAAAACCAGCTTGAGCTAAAGAGACAAGATTCCATAGCTGGGCTGTTACAGACTCATATCCTCTGTGGATCAGGCACAGAGGGAGACCTGTAATACACACTCACCAGTGAGTCCACTAATGCTCAGTGAATTCAGTCCATTCACACAGCAAGAGATACTTGAAGTATTACAGGAAATTTGAGTCACCATATCTAACTATCTGGGTAGCACCAGACCCCAATACTGAGCATTAATGTATTTATCATCCTTTGGGAGCTAGGGAAATACTATGATGACCATTTTACAGTTGAGAAATTGGAGCAAAGAGAACTAAGTAACTTGACCACGGTCACATAGGAAGTCTCTGGCAGAAGTAAAAGCTGAATCCAGGCCTCTTGTGTCAAAGCCATCCTTCTTCATGGGTCACTCTTTTTGGTTAGTGAAAGATGCTCAATATTAATTGGGCTCTTATTGCCTGAGATTGTCAATGCTACATTTGAGGAAGGATATCTACCAATCACTTTAAAGTACATAATAGTCCGACCAATAGTAAAGAAGCAATCTCTTGGCCTGTTGGGTAGGAAAGGTTCAACTTATTAAGTGTTCATAGTCGTCATTTTGGATTGGTAAAAGGACAACCTGTCCTCCATCTTGGCACCCCTTCTCCTTCAGCTTTTTGGTGCTTTTTTTGAGTCTGGCGCCAAAGCAAGGAAAAGGCAGGAAAGGTGGTGTCTCGTGGCAGTAGAATCTGCCTAGCAACAGAGAATGCATATAAGAGAGTGTTCACCCTCTGAGGGGTGCTCTATGTCTCTGGATGCTGTGAAAGCAGATCATCCCAGTGAGGCATAGAAGCCCTCCCACAGAGTACCAGCCTTGCTATTAGCTAGAGCCCTGATTGAATAGGACTTGAGGTGAACCAGCAACACTTACCAGCAAAGGTTCCCTTGACTTACCTCCACTCACTTGTTCCATCATCACGTGAGATAGTGTCTGCATTCAGCATGCAGGATGACAAGATCAAGAACAGAAGGCACCACACTGAAGATCTACTTACCTGGCACCAAAGATCCTAAGGTCCAATTCCTGTTGTGTTCCCATTCCTGACACATGTCCCTGAGGTCCTTGTTCCTGTCTGTGTTCCTGTTCTCCTGTCCAGTGTCTGCAAGACATGGTATAGTCCTTCTGTAAAATCCCACTGTGTAAGAGTTTGGGCTCTGGAGTTCATCCCCATTTCCATCATCTGTGTTAACAACCGAGCAGTTATTCTTTGTGTTATCTTAGTTGCAGGGAGTCCTAGTTTGTTGTTGTGTATCTCAATAAACACCATTTTGTTGTTTGCAACCTTAACCTGCCTGTGTCTTAACTACATTAAAATATCATTGATAGATGCAGAGGGAAGGTAGGATACTGCACATAGCCCATCTTCTGTGAAGTAAAACCTAATTTTAACTGTCACTGGCTAACAAGCCCTAGGAACTTTGCCAACTAACTTAGTGTATTATAATAACTAAGATTTTTACAAACACAAGTATCAGGGAGTAGCCGTGTTAGTCTGTATCTACAAAAACAACAAGGAGTCTGGTGGCACCTTAAAGACTAACAGATTTATTTGGGCATAAGCTTTCGTGAGTAAAACCTCACTTCTTCGGATGCATAGAGTGAAAGTTACAGATGCAGGCATTATATACTGACACATGGAGACTCCATCTGTAACTTTCACTCTATGCATCCGAAGAAGTGAGGTTTTTACTCACGAAAGCTTATGCCCAAATAAATTTGTTAGTCTTTAAGGTGCCACCAGACTCCTTGTTGTTTTTACAAACACAGTGTCTTAAACAAGATAATGTAAACACAAAGAAAACAGCATTTCTAACTATACCCTGCTAACGTACCAGACGCCCTCCCAATCAGGCTTCATATCAGGACATGGCATTGGTCCCAGTGATGGATAACCTCCTCCTGGCCATGGATGGGAGAGGACGGTCACCCATCATCATATTACTAGACCTCTTCTGGGATTTAGCATCATCTGCCATAGTTTACTAATCTCTTGCATCAAACAAGTAGCTGAAGTTAACAGAAAAGCACGGACTTCCCTTTCAAGCCTGCCCCAGAGAATGCTGATGGAAAATTGCTCCATCACCAGACTATTCATTTATACTTACATCATTTATTAAGGTAAGATTGTGGCCAAAGACAATTATTCAGAAATAAACCTAAAATCATGTTATTATATTGCACATTAGAAGAATAAACTATGTTTATTGGTTTTTGCAAAAAATTTGAAAGAACTGGCAAAGCATTTCTATAGCTATTAACATTAATAAGAAAATTGGTGACATTAGTAAGTTCTGTTAGAGAAAAAAATAAGCCTAAAACAACCAGCCAACAAACAAAAATGGTTTAAAGAAAAATGTGAATCAAAATCTGATTTAAAGACACTCAGAAGTGAGAGACTTATTACATGTCTTGGGCAATTTGTTGATAGAATAAAATGGTCCTGCGCTATGAAACCTTCCTGGGAACACACCACGGTATCACCAGCATCAGGAACATGACAAATCCCAAAGGGAGGGAGGTTCCTGGCAGATCCAGCACCCCCTAGACTGTCCAGCTACATAACAACTAATCCCAGTACTGGGGAAGCTCTGCCAGCGCACACAGACAGTTGGGGGTGGTTTTGACAGTCTGGATGTTTTCTGTTCCCCTAGTTTAAATCCAGATCAGAATTTTAAAGCCATTTCGTAGTTTTTACAGCCCTGCCATTGGCTGTCGCACACCTTGCACCCCTGCTCGGCTTCTCAACCTCCCCCACTCCCCTCCTCGTGCGGCTCGCCGACCACTCCGAGGCAGAACTAGACTGACGCTCCGAGCCAAGGGCGGGTAGGGGCAGCAGCGTCGCTCTCCTAATGGGCATGTGCACCCCCCTCACACCGTCCCCGCGGGCAGCCCCTGGAGTCCGTGGTTTGCGGATGGAGCATGGGCAGATTCTGCAGCAGGGCGGGTTGTCCCATCAGGCTCCCCGCACAGCGCCGCGTGGGGGGCCGGGCAGCCCCCCAATGGCCCCGCGAGCCAGAGCCGCTGCCCAGCGCCTCATTAGTTCAGCTCGGGCAGCAGGCGGCGGCGCATGCGCCTGCCATTGGAGCGCTCTCCAGCGGCTCTCCGGCTGAGCGGGGCAGAGGGGAAGGGAGTCGCCGGGGACTGTTCCAGGAGCGGGGGCGAGATGGCTGGGGAGAACCAGCACCAGACCCTCAGGAAGAGCATCGCAGCCCAGCCGCCCGCAGCGCCGCCCCGGCCGCCCAGGAGCAGCAGCTCCGAGCGAGTGACTCTGAAGAAGGAGATCGGGCTCGTCAGCGCCTGTGCCATCATTATAGGTAAGAGATCTCTGCCCCCGCCGGGCACCGAGCGAAAAGGAGCAGCATGGGCTGGCGCGGCCCCGGCTGTGACCCCAAGTAAGTGTGTGCGCGTTGGGAGAAGGGTTTATCATTAAACGCTGTCGATCCCCGTTGCTGCTTGAAAGCATTATTCTGCGGGGGGGTAAATGGTAACGCGCAGGCTGGTGGCGAGCAGAGATCAGGGCTGTGAGTGCCTTTGCTAAGCTCCCTGCAGCGTGCATGCAACAACAACGAAGTGGTTGTATTTCATTTCTTCATCATTGTACCCTAGGGAGGCAGATTAATGAATTTAGCTCTCTTCTGGCATATGGGGATCGGGGAATTAATATTTATTGAGCACTATTTATTATATATAGACAGAAGAAAGATTAACAAATAAAATGCATTTCATGGGCACTCATTTGTTAATATGAAACACTTTTCCTTCCCCTGCAATGAAAATTCCTTGGTACAATAACTTTATTATGTGCTGCCTGTATTTCAATCCAATAGATAAAACTCCTAGAATTAGGTCATTTTGTTTACAAAGGTGTTCTTGAGGATTGTGTAATAAACTATAGGATTGATTAATATGCCAGCACATAGACTGATGCCAAAGTCTACAATTCCTGAAAATTCTGATGGAAAAGCCAGTATACGGAAAGTGTCACCATAATCAACGGGAGCTGTAGATATAAGTTGCTGAACTACAGGAGATTCAGAACCTTCCACGCTGCATTTTACAGTATGTGCCAAACCCAAGTTCTCTGTTATCTTAAAGAAAGGCAACAGTAGAAGTCCACATAAAGACCTAAAGTTGTCAGCCAAAGCATCCAGCATTGTAATCCAAAATAGATTTTAACCACTTTTGATTTAAAGCCTATTACAAATCATTGTCTAAATCTGAAATGCCAAAATATAATTGGTTTACAAATAAAACTCCATTCACAAGACTAAGTCAATAGATAAGAACCTCAACATATTAACTATGTCATCTATTGTACTACAGTCTTCCATCTACTAATATAACTATATTAAGTGATGAGATGAAATCAGATTTTTCCAATACCAATAAACTGTCCACAAAGAAATAACATTCTATTGCATTACAGAGATGATTTCTTACAATGTATTTATGAAAAGTGGTAACTGGTACCTGTTTCCAGAGCTCTGGCATTTTACACTTTACAATTAGGAGATTAAAAATATGCACAAGGATACAGGACAGTGAGCCTGCTCCAAATGTCAAAAGTCTACAATCCATCCAGTTCATCTTTCTTGATGATTAAGACTATGCTTGAAAAGGAATCCATTCATTTTATTTCTACAGGCAAAACCAACTATTAGAATTATTAACAACATAGCTAAAAGTTAAATAAGTACTGTATTAACATTTCTTTTTGAATTATAAACTCTCAAAACCAATCTGGTCTGAACCTGAACTATTTGCATTGCCTTTCGTATCCTAGTGATCTCATCATCTTGCTGAACACAATGAGTATTGTAGTTGTACTAAGATTAAGAATATATCATCTGCTACTTTTCCAGTAGCTCATTATTGTTATATGGATTTTATATTATTTTGATTACACATTTTAGAAATTTGAGCTGACTGTATTGATTTCTTGAGTATCTGCAAACACTCAATCATCCATTCTTACACCTCTCTATGTGTGTGTAATCCCAATTGATATTGTGTGCTCATTTCAATGCAAAATTCCATAGCAACTGCTTATGTTATGGCTTCAAGATATTACCTTTCTGAACATAACATATGTTATGGCTTTAAGATTTGGCCCTTTCTGAACATAAGCATTTTCAAGCTTATGTTATGGCTTTAAGATTTGGCCCTTTCTGAACATAACCTGTGCAGTGGCTTTAAGATTTGGCCCTTTCTGAACATAACCTGTGCAGTGTTACATTAAACTAACCATCTTCACTCAGGAGTGGCTTAAGGAACACACTAACAAGACCTGTTATTTTACCTGTTTTAACTATAGTGCCCAAAGTATCCCAAACTTTTAACAATCCGATTCAAAGTCTCTTCAGACGCAGCATCAAAGTACCAATGCCAACAAATGGAAATGAATTTATAACAAATGTTACATTGGATCAGATGTAAAATTTACGTATTAACCATCTATAGTCACTAAAGGCCTTGTGGCAAGATCTTAAAGGGTATTTAAGAGATCTTTTTGCAAGAGCTGGGCCATTTGACCTGGTGTGCTGGCCAGATGCCAGTTTGGGTAATTATAATCTGCTTAGTTAAATTCTTGATTCATTTTCATTTGGATATGCTATTCTTATTCACTTCATGCCTTAAGCTGTTGTGTAGTGTTTCTATGCAGTGTTAAACCACTGCTACGTTTACCTCAGAGGTGGTTGTATGTCAGCGGTGAGTGACATGATCACTATGGGCCATACTCAACAAGGAGTCTCATTAAGGGCTGTAACTACCTAGTCTAATTACCCACATGGGCGTAAGCTCCACCCTCAACCTTGATCCCTTGTTTGGTCTTGCTCAGATTTTGACTTGGCCATGTGAGAGGTGGGGGGCATTTGGCTGTGCACAGGCTACTTACCCAGTATTTTTCACTAGGAGCAAATGGATGGGAGGAGGCTGGAGAGGCAAGTGAGAGGAGCCCTGGATCCATCCCCAGTTTGTCAAAGAGTGTAGACATCCAAGTGCACAGACTCACACACATGCCTCCCAGAACCCAGGTGAAGTATGGGAGGAATTGTGACAGAGTCACATTCTCCAGTCTGCTCCTAGGGTGATGCAGCTACACACCATCCTTAGTCAGGGCAGATTGTAAGTTTACAATTTGGTCCTTTTGTACATCCCTTTGTTAACCTTGGTAAAGTGTTTGGGAGCCCTTTCAGATGAAAGGTGATATATACATGCAAGTTATTATTGGGGCAGCTGTACAGGGAATGTAGCTCCCTGAAAGTGACATGAATTACCTGCTCCCCAGCTCAAACTGTGCTCGGAGCAATTGGTCTGGTGTGTAAGTGGGGAGAAGATAAACTAGGCCACAAGTGTGAGCTGTGGAGCTGCACAGGGACAGAGAACCATGAGGGCTAGAAACGTTGCTTTTATAACCGAAAGCTGGGATTCTCAAATAGTCACATGGACCTGGTAGTTATGGCTTTAAGAAAACTATCACATATTGGGAAACTCACACTAAGGTTGACAGACTGAGCAATTCTGTAACTGGGTGTGTTGGCTCCCCCCTCTTCATGTCCTCTCCCCAGTTAATTACCATGGGGGTACGGTGATTCTAATGGGTTTCCAATCCCTTCATGTCACCTTGTTTGACCTGTGTTTCGGAGCTGTCAGAGAGATGTATTTGGGCTGTGCCACCCCATCTGCAGCAGGGGAGGAATCTGCCCCATGCTAAGAGGCCATGGAGGTGCTATACATGCTCAGTACCTTCCCTGACCTCATCCACAAGCTCCCAACTGTCAGACTGGCAGTTGAACTTAGTAGAGTCAAACACAGCCTCTGGGAGGGGAAGGTGTCCCCCCATGAGGATAGAAAGTAGTCACCATGGCTGCACAACCTGGGTGGGTCACAGAGCGCCGGCAGGTTCTGCTCTTTGGCAAGACAGGGCCTATAATTTGTTTAATTCACTTGAAATAATAACTGCTATGTAACTGATTGATGGAACTGCTATCAATATAATTAAGAAAATTGTTTAAAAGACAAAGGGGAGTTGTCATGTTGCAAAGAGTTCTGCATTCAATGGCATAATTAGTGGGGAGAGTATGGGCTTTTCTACATTAAAAAATTGTACTAATATAACTACATCAGTGTAATTACACCAGCGCAACTCCTAATGCTGACCTACTGCACTGGTGCAGAGTAGGAATAACATTGATGTAACTTAATTCAGTAATGAGCAGGGGAAATGAACAGCTCCCAACACCCACAGATCCCTGAAATCTTCCTGGATTTCAAGAGATTTGCTAGAGTCTCTGTGGTCTCTCCTGATCCCCTGGGTCCTGCCTCCCCCACCATCCCTCACCCCCATCCCCCTTAAAGAGGTTTCCACCGCATTGGGCAGCTCCACAGCCTAACGCTTTCCTGGTTTTTACAGTGGATTTCCTACTGATTGCCATGGCGTGGTAAGATGGTCTTAGTCCACCAGTCTCCTTCTACTTCCTGTCTCCCTCTGGATACCTCAAGGATATCTCAGGATTATGGGATGGGTTGTAGGATGATGGGGGGAGACAGAGCCAGGAAGATGACACCCCTACTTCCACATGGAAAAAAAGGGACATCTTCCCACAAATCTTGGCAGGTAACCAACCAGCTTTACATTAATTGAAATGAAGAAAATATTCTCTCTGCACCTGCAGAATTGGCTACTGCTGTCAAAAACAGGTGTAAGCACTTTAACAAACTCTGGTTCCAGGTGCTTAGCCAGTGACTTTCCCCGGTTCAGTGGTCTGACTTTCTTTAAAACTTGGCAGTAAATATGTACTGCTTAATACTATCTTTTGTATTAATTTAAATTATTTGAATTGACTAGACTAAGTTTAGGCCTGAATATTGGTTATCAATTTCAAATTTAATTTTAAATAAGTTTTCATTTTAAAAATGTATTTAAATAAATATCCAATTTTTTAAAAATCAATTTTTAATCCATCCTGGGTTAGATGGCCTTTACCACCAGAAAGATCCTGAGAATTCTGCTGAATTTTATTCCACGCTTTGGTAAAAACACCCAGAAAATCCTAGAATCCCATGTGCTAGACTTGATTTGAATATCATACATATGGGTAGCATTGCCACATATCTTGAAATCTCTACTAATGCACAGCTATGAGTAATAACAGTAGTGGCTTTGTACATGGTATGTGGCAGTGCATGCCTATGCATATAACATTACAATCAGTCCTTTAAATTCCACAGTCTAATGGCACTTGAAATCATAAAACTTTCCAAAGTCATCTCCAAAGGTAGTAAGTGACTTAAGCATCTCAATAGAATATCT